TTTAGACCATTTTTAGGGGACAGATAGAGCTTTCCTTTGGTGGTATTTAATCACCACTGCGGGGTTTTATTTTTTTACTATATAAGGAAAAAAGGACCGTAAATGTTGAAAAAAACCCCTATTTTCCCTACGTTATATTTATAAAACATTTATTATTACCCAATTTTTGGGTAAAATGCCGCAATGCGAGGTTATACTAGCGATCGGTCAGCTATAGAGCCGGCCGACCGCTTCTATAAAACAACCGGTAACGGCTGTTCACCTTCCCTGGCGGGATTCTGCTCACGCCCGCCCGCAAGTAGATACAAAAATTACGTACATGTACGTCCAGCCGCCAGGAAGGATTTGCCGTTCGCCCGTAATTTTACGATGGGTGGATGTCAACTGATTAAGGCTTGACATGTTTGGTGTCCATTTACCCGACATGACCCCGTCTTTTATATTTTACAAAAAAAATTGGCTAAAAATCAATGTTTTTTATAACGTAACGTAAGAAAAAAAACGTTTGTTTTCAAAATTGTCGGTCATTTTTTTCTTTATATAGTAAACAATAAAAACCCTCAGTGGTGATTAAATACAACCCAAAGAAAGCTCTATCTGTCCCCAAAAAATGATATAAAATTCATTTCAGTACAGCGTTCTATGATGAAATGTCAAAGTAATCACATCGGTGAACACTGAAAAATGGCCGGTCTCCAAGGGGTTAAAATTGAACTGCTGTTTGTCGTTCTAACAGATGTGAGGAAGCCGTTACGCTGCAGGTGTTCTGAACGTCACGCTTTGTCGCCTTATCGATGAGAATGCAGATGTCCTGAAGCAAACGGACACAAACGTCGGGTTTGATAAGGAGAGTCTGTTAGCTTTCTGGCTGTGACCCCATTCGGGAGCGTTTCCCCCACCTGGTGTCATTGTGACACCAGAACAAGAAATGTCAGAGAGAAGAAAGTACAGGGGGCAATAACAACATTGTGAGACGTAACCAACCCATTTATTTGAATTTCAGTACTTTCAGTCATGGAGGCTCAGCATCGCATGTGGGTGTTACCTAGGACTGCTTGCATGCAACTACAGCCTACCTAGGATCGCCCACTCCTTCAGACGGACATCCACCTATCAAGGCATTTTAATATTTGCATAACTCCTCCCAAGACCCACCCCACTGCTTGCATCAGGGCTGAAGGCTCTTGGGAGGATTACTGAGGCAGGGTTCTGTGATGTTTTCAGGAAGCTATGTACAGCACCCGCCCACCAACCATGATCTACGTGCATTGTATAGATCAGTGCTTCTTAAAGTGTGGGTCACAACCCCATATGGGGTCCCACAGGTGAACGGGGGGGTCGCGATCTGAATCCCCAGCCAGGAGCGCCATCAGGGGGTACGACCGGTACTTGTGTGAGGGGCCCAGGCGGCCGGAGAAGCCTGGGCTCCAAGCAAGATTTTTTAATTTTCGTTTAATGTGCAGTGTAGTTGTTAAGGTCGCGGGCCCCCCCTATGCACTTGGTACCTTCTGGAGCACGTGCGCGCAGGAAGTGTATTTTTTTTTTAACCCAGCAGAAGTGGAGCACAGCTGCTGGAGGTAAAGGTAAGGAGGGAGAGGGGGCACTGGGGGGGAGGGAGAGAGACACCGACCGATGCTGGGGGGGTGAATGGGTTAGGAAAGAGACACCGACCGACACTGGGGTCACGTAAAAATTTCCTTGCCCAAAAAGGGGTCACGAGTGGAGAAAGTTTAAGAAGGCCTGGTATAGATGGCTGGAGAAACGTGTCTGTCTTGGCTAGACAGGAAGATTGGGGTGTACAAGGATTGCCGAAGGCACAGCCTTGGTGCATGAGCAGGCATGGGCCAATGATGGGTAATGCAATGGGACCGTATCTTTTTTAGTTGCTTGCCTGGAGTTTAAGCCTTGTATAGATTCAAATCTTTCAGGTTCTCCCAAATCTCAGCCAGAGGGGGGGATCTTGACAGTATTGTCGGGATCTGTCCCGACTGTAGCACTCTCCTTGTCTTTGCTCCTAGTGAGTCTCCTTGCCTCCTGTCATGATGCCTAGTATATTGCTAGGAGCTGAACTCTCTGACTTCCTAATCTTTTAAGAGAATCCCCCATGGACTGGAGGCCATGTCACTGGCTGTTTAATAGTCTCTTTGGAAAAATATGGAGAATACCCCTTTAAACAGAAATATCCGTGCACAGCAGTGACCTGGGGATCACAGGACCAGAAGTAAGAGCAGAACATCTTAAAGGGGTCTCAGACAGCAAGATAAGACTGACAGAGGACCGAAAAGAAGAGATTATACAGTAGCAGTGTTGAATATGTTAAAGGAGAACTATGAGGCGAGTGAATTACACTCATCCTCATAGTTAGAGATGAGGTGTGACATTGAAACTGTCACAGGTCGACTCTATTGATCGGTAAGTGAGCGAAAACATACCGCCGATCACATTATGAACACCCACCTAATATTGAGTAACTCCCACTTTTGCTGCCAAAACCCTTTGAGGCATGGATTCCAGTAGACTGCAGAGGGTATGCTGGGGTATCTGGCACCAAATTGTCAGTGGCAGATCCTTTAACTCCCGTAAGTTGTGAAGACCTAAAGGATCCTACCCACTTGCAACAGTGAGCCTTGGCCACCCATGACCCTGTTGCTGGTTCACCGGTTTTCCTTCCTTGGACCACTTTTAGTTGGTCCTGACTACTGCAGACCAGGAACATCTCACAAGAGCTGCAGTTTTGGAGTTGCTCTGACCCAGTTGTCTAGACATCACAATTTGGTCAGAGTCACTCAAATCCTTACACTTGTCCAATTTTTCTGCTTCCAACACATCAACTTCAGGGACAAAATGTTCACTTGCTGCCTAATATATCCCACCAACTTTCTACAATGGATGTCTCACCCCCCCCCCACGTAAGATGGGGGGGTGAGACATCCAACATCAGTACCTGACCTCACAAATGCGCTTCTGGAAGCATGGTCAAATATTCCCATAGACAAACTCCTAAACCTTGTGGACGCCTTCCCAGAAGAGTTGAAGCTGTTATAGTGGCAAAGGGCAGAGCCAACCCAATACTGAACCCTCTGGACCAAGACTGGGATGCCATTCACAAGACCTCCAAGACTAATAAAATGATCTTCACATGAAAGTGAACTGTAAACAAGGTGCCCTTACTATTTATGAGAATAATCGGTAAGGTAAATGATAGGAAACATACATATTTGATGAGATGGACATTACTGAATCTAGCAGACTTGCGAGTATTCCATTGCATGGTGGCTAAAAATAGAACCTGGGTACCTGGCAACAGTTGCATCATTAGTCTCATTTTGCTCAGCACTTGTCTCGACGTGGCTGCTTCATCGGGAGATTTACTCTTTAAATGCGTTTTTTCCCTTTTGTCTCATTATTTTGCTCATGGCTAGAACCCAAGTGACGCACAACCATTTTTGTTGAGTTTCCTTGGTTTATCTTTGCAGATGCTAATCTTAATAGGCATATGTGACTAATGTTGGCTGTCCTATCCAGATGTCGCATAAGAGAAAAATGTAAATCACTCTAGAATTTATCCATTGTCCACTCCTTCCAGCAGTGACTTGGCAGCTCAGCTTCACCTGAAGTAAGTCCTCACCACTCCAAAGGTTCTCCAAGCAAAGTTATTTTTATTCCACCGTGTAACGTTATATCAACAAGTGTTTTGCCTGATGAAGGAACCGGATGCGTTCCAAAACGTTGCTACACTTGGTGATGTAACTTTACACATGGAACAAAACGAACTTTGCTTAGAGAACCTTTGGAGTGCTGGTGACTTATTGTTTTGTTTATCTGATCCAGTGGCACCATCCGCTGTCATTTCAGCATCCCCCCCCCCCCTTTGAAGGTGGGGGAAGGATGGGGGT